CTATGCATGACTTGCTGGGTCTTTTCATTGTCTATAATCATAAATATGCATTTCTAATGATGTTATTGTTTTTGCGGCTTCTCCAATTTCTTAGGTTTCACAAAGACAGTTTCTTCAATGTGGGCAATGACATTGCTTAGCTTGTATGTTAGAGTTCAGGTCACCATCTTAGGCAGGCATCTCTACTTAGATATTGCCCGGGGTACCAATGGTGCACAGTTACAGGTAGATCTTTGCCCCAGGCTCCACATTCTATGCTCAAGCATTTCCATTTGAACTACTTTCATTTGTTTCTTGCTCAAGTTATTGATACCTGCACTCTAGATGGTTAAATAATTGAAATTATGTTAGAAACACTAACTTAACTTGGTTTCAAGCTGCTTCCTGACATGGAAATGTCTCACTTCTTTTTTAGACAGAATCTGACACCTTTAGTGAAAATGGACACAAGAGCTTCCTTGCAATGGCTGATTATCTTGTCACTGACAAAATCACTGCATTCATAGCGCAAATGCAACGCGCAGCAACAGAAGTCCTAAAAGAGTAAATATATCTTCTCCCATCCTTATGATAGTTGTTACCAGCATGTTCAAAGCATGTTCAATAAATCATGGAATATGCATCTATTTTTCTAGCAAAATGCTTGTTTATTTTACATGCTGAAATTCGTGTGAACTGAGCTATGAAGAGTATCCACACTTCTGTATTCAGCATAAATTAGCTAGTTTGGTACACAATATCTCATTTCCTCTTTTTTCTTGGAAATCCAACTGTGAACATTATACCATTAAGTGCCTGTCAACGAGCTGGCTACCAGTGGTTTTCTAGCTACCTCGTTTCTTAGTTTAGATTTCATTCCATCATATTCAATTTGTGTCTTAAACAGTTTACGATTCTTAGTACAATGTTCATAAGGGTATCTGCTAACATCTGCCCCAAATTAGTGATACATTGCATGGCCGCTTTGGCTGGTTCCCAGAAGTAACCATCTGGCTACCTTCAGGAAATTTGTTCCTGCCTTCCCGGTTGTGTATTTCCCCTTAGTGATACTGAGTACTGACATGTGAAAATTCTGCAGGAAGCAACTGAAAGACCGAATGAACATGGACCAAGTATTGCAGACGGTATTACAAATATTGGACACGTTCATGGGTCTGTGTCAAGATAACTCATGGATAAACTATCTTGTGCCTGAGAATCCCCCTGTTTATGCACAGTTGATGGCTGTGTCCAGTAGTGGCTTTGATGATTCATCACTCCTAAACGATTTCAGAAAGCTAGACCAACTAATGTCTGAGACACGAATAGTACTGGCAAGGTAATATTGGCATATTGCATTGAGCTCTGTTCAGTTATTGCAAGTTCATGATTTGCATCACAACGATGTAGTTTTTCTTTGCTCAATCAGTTGTATGACCAGTTTTCTTCTTTTCTTTTTTCCTTTCATCAGTGAGCTTTGAATTCATTACTACTACTATTATTGCCTATTAGATTGCATAGTGTTTACTCTGATCCTTGTCATATGCCATGTGATTTGTCTTGGCGTAATTTGTTAGTTTTGCTTTTGTACTATATATGTATGGGGATTCAAAATGAAACAGTCAAAGCAGATACAAGTAGACGCTACAGTAGGTAGCTATCTATGCCATGCTATTATCAACTTCCTGTGTAGTATTTACCAAACTGCATTGGTAGCATTTAACATTATTTTTTAATCTACTATGGAGCAACAAAGGTCCTTTGTATTTAGGGGTGGAGTTTTGGTGTGCATTGCCTTTCCTTTCTGTGAATGAAATGGTGATATGGAAAATATCATATCAGTATATCATATCTATGTGATGATAACAACCACGTGCAAGGAACCCTCCCCATTGAGACGGTTACTATGTTGCAAATTGCAAGAGAAGATTGTAAAGATGTTGTGAAATGCACAGAATCATTAGTTTTTAGTATGTCTGGAATTAATGGCTTGTCTGTGGTTGCCTCCTTGGTGTCTGTGGTTGCTTCCATGAGTATATTACATAACCATTTGGAACTGTGTTATTGCAGTGATGATTTCAGAAATATCATGGAGAGGTCATTGAGGAAGATTGCGGAAGTGGTGGTAGAGGATCTGGGTGTGCAGATTGTAACTCCAGGATTGGGATTGCCCTTAGCAACGCTCTTGCCCAAAGTTGGTCACCTGAGTTCCCCATTGCTTGAGGAGCCAAACAAGAACAAACACATTCAGATCATCCGAAGTATGCCTGAAGTGGAACTCTTCTACACATTCCTCTACGCAAACATGCCACCAGAAACATAATCTGTACATTGATGTGAAAGAACACTTGCTTCTGAATTTTGGCTCCAAAGATCTGGTGGTATATGTGGATGTTGAACCGTCTGCAAATCAGGAAACCAACAAACGTGGAGAGACAGGATGCCATTTCTGCCCTGTATATTCTGAGATATTCCGTTGTTGCTAACAGGAACAGAGTATCGTTCCTTCCATTTGGATTCTTTCTTTCTCTGAAGTTTCGGTTGTGCGGGTCTAGATAGAAACACACGCACAGGGCCTTGGGAGCTTACACGGTGATAGATGTTCCAAATGTTTTACTGGCCACAAATGGTTAATGTATACATTGCAAGTCAGTTGAGTCTTGTGTTGGGTAAATGAATATTTGAACCCACAGTTTGCGATCTGCAGTCTTATGATTTTGCTTGTGCAGTTTTGCTTTGGGAAGAACTGGATTGTCTGAATGTTTGAAACAGCTGAGTTTCTTGCATTATTGTGGTGAACTGTCATGGAATTCGTACGAACTGATAACATTTGTTCATTCTGAGAATACGATTTCTTCTGGTTCCTAGTCCGATCATGCAAGTCTAGTCCACTTTACATGTCATTAGTGCCAAAAGATCTAACACAAGGTGGGCCCAGAGAAGGGAATTTCTAACAGCCTTTACCTGTGCATAATTCTGCACGCAAGGTGTCTACGCTTCAAAACTTTGCAATTTGTTGCTGTTCAGTAATGAAATTTTGAAGCTTTGTAATTTTGTTGCTGTTCGATAATGAAGTTTGGTTCGAACGTTGTGGAGAAAGATAGCGAGTACAGTAGAAATCTTCTTGTTTTTCTATAAAGGGCTACTACTCCACTATCTAAAAAAAATAAAGGGCTACTAGTGATAATAATTTTACAGGGTTCTGCCATTAAGTAAACAGTGCTAAGTAAGAGGAGCATCACACCCTGTTCGTTTGGGCTTGTTTGGCTTATAAGCGGTACTTTTTCAGTCAACGAACTGTATTTTTCTCTCGTACCAAATCAGCCAACAGTATTTTCAGCCATGGCTTATCAGCCAAACAAGCCCAAGTGAACAGGACGCACATTGGTTTCCAATGTTCCAATTCAGTTTGACATGAGAATCAACAATGGATATTCCAGATGATTAGCGGAGCATTTCTTTGTGTTCTCAGGAGCGGACACAATGACATTCCAGATGTCTTACATAGTGCTCTGTAACTGTAAGCGGTGACCTCAAATATTTTTGCCGCCGAAAAATATTTTTCCAATGTTTCTTTGCTCCGCTCAGTCTGCAAATATTCTGGCCCGCACGTTGAGTAAATATCTGCAGGCATATGCTTACTTCCATTCCACAAATTTGCGGCGGAAAGAATTGAATTTCCTGAAAAATTTCATCCAACATGTAGTGCATACAAGTGCACATCTAATTTTTGTTCATTCATGAACGTCTTCTTGTTGTTGCTCCAAAGCATGAAATTCTCCTGTCTTAAGATGCTCATTCAGATAGCAAGGAGGGCATACCTCCAACAACATTTTTTTTTGTGTGTAAAAAACGTGTGAAGCAGCCATCGTACAAAGATTGAAAAGGATAGATGTTGTACTCCCTCCATGTTTTTTTTAAGTAATGGCGGGAGCTCTACCTTTTAATTAAGAAGAATAGAATTGACCTAGTTTATAAGGGAAACTGGACCTGAAAACCTTACATAGGCACAGATCAGAACACAGGAAATACCCACAGCACCATCCCCTCCATGTTCCTAAGGCTTATCTCCAACAACAACACACAAAATACAAGACACATTCGTCCTTTGGGTAGCGCTACAGGCAAAAGGTTCAATACCTATTCGACATCTTCTCCAACAACAAGACCCAAAAGAGAATTATTTCTGCAAATGGGTTTACATGAGAGATGATGCCCATATTTAGGTTGTGCATCTCAGGCAACCTAAAATAGATCTCCCGTATAGGTACTCTGTTGAAGGCTGATTTTAGGTTTCTTACTACTCATTTTGGGTTTGGATGTCCATATGGGTTCATTGTTGAAGACAGTCTAAAGGAGGTCGTTTTGGGTTGTCTTAAGCTTTGACTACAAATAAAAAAAAAATTTGGTCGAGTTTGAAAATATGAAAGTGATGTAAGTAGATTCATCTCGAAATATAGTTTTATAGAAGTATATATTGACTATATTTTATAAATATTTTATAGCAAAAAATAGCGGTCAAAGTTGTTTTTAGTGACCGTGTCATTGTCCAAAAGGACTTCCTTTAGGGACGTGGAGGGAGTACTGTCTAACAATTTTGACAACATACTTGCTAATTTTAAAGGGAAAATAATTGCACAGAAATAGGCATTGAAATGTATGACAAGGAGAGGGGTGCCACAGGACTGCATCAAACACTGTAAATTACATGCAAGTCATTTTACTGAAGAATATTGAATAGCAATATTTATTGTAGAAAAACTGAGAGGAGACACATAAGAAAATATGCCATATCCAGAACCGCTTTTATCAGCTATAGTAGCAAACCTACGTATCAGTAGTGAACAAAATATTGCAATCTTGGTGAAATTCAACAACAGCAGTTGATGCAAGTACTACTTCCACTAGTATCCCCTCATGGTTGATTCGTTTCAAGGGTCAGACACAAAAATGAGCCTATTCAAGGCCAAACAATAAATCTGCAAACGAATCCAATCAATGCAAGTGATTCGTGCACTGTATTATTTAGCTGAAGAAACTAATCTTTGTTTCTCCTCATCAAACTCTTTGCTACCATTGCCCTCCTTAGGTTGTTCGGGTACCAGCTCACGCTGCGCTGCACTGTTTCCTTTCACTGTAACTGATTGCTGATAGAGTACTCCACCGACAATAGTGAACAGTAAGCAAACCAAACCATATGCAGTTGCATGCTTGTCCCAGATCATGACATTGATAACCACGGTGAGGAACTTATTCACAACCCCGGTCACAGTAAATGCGGTTGCTGATACAGCTCTTCTCGCTGCAAAACCAAAGAAACTAATGAGCAACCCAAACACGCATGACAATGCCACTGCTACAAAGGCGTCCAGGTGAAACCAGCCTTCGCCCCTTGATTCCATCGCTGCAAAGATTGACTTGTGCTCCCCTGTAAGGAACCAAAAGATCGGGGCCAGCATCAACGAAAGAAGGTTGTTGTAAAGCACAAAGCCCCAGGTGTTGAGCCCCAGGTTTGTCACAATGTGCTTGATGTACACCATTTCAGTTGTTATGGTCACCAGATACGCAAGCGCCCATGAGTATGCTGTGAGGCTGAATGCTGAATCTGTCATCACGTAGCCAACTGCTCCTCCCAAGATGACCACAAGGGATAGGAATGTGAACTTTGAAGGACATGGTTGCTTCCTGAGAGTTGTGTCGGCAATAGCAACCAAAAGCGGGGTCAGGGATCTGAAAACTATGAATGTATCTACATTGGCATGGCAGAGGAGATTTGTGTTGGTGAATATGGCTAGGTAGAAGACAAGAGCAGCTGGTGCAAACTTTTTTGCAGTCTCCAATTTGAAGGGGTCATGGGTGAGAAAGCCTAGCTTTCCAAGGATCCAAACACCAGCGGCAGATGTCAAGTACTGTAGAGCAGTTAGGAGGCCAGGGTAACCAAACTTTGTCACGGCATATTTGTTGATGATTGAGAGCAAACTCGAGCACAGAGCATACCCAACCACGAGGCTGCTCGTAGCGTAATACTGCTTTGCCATCAGAGCAGAATGTTCACCTGTAATACGTTCAGTGTTAGCAAAGCATTCAAATAGCAAACTAATGCTTAAACTATAAGAATTTATTTACTAGAATGTCCAACTACTCAGCAGTCTGTTTTGCTTCTGAAATAAAATAAAGCAAGACTAGGCGCATAACAATGAAACATGCACATTTTGTTGAATTGCTAACTGGTTACTACAAAAATTTCAAGATACCAACATCATCAACGTGGAGAATTGGAATGGTCAACAGAATGCCAGATTTCAAGTAATTTCTCTGAGATTTCAGACAATTTATCAACAGATCTACAAAACAGGTTATTTGCCGCTGCTTGTAACACCATACTTTACTGGCTCCTTAGAGCAGTAGAATTTACTTAAACTATTGGCCGGAGTAAGGTGTAACGCTCCAATTTGGACAGGAAAGAGAAGTAATTCGAGAACATCAACTCAGTGGCTGCACAGCTGAGGCCAAGGATTTTAGCAATATCTCACTAGCTTTTTTCTTTCTTTCTTCTTTAGTTTAGAGATTGCATTCTCAGATGTGTGTAGGATGTCCATCTGAATAGAATTATGTGCGTACGAATACTAACACCGACAAATCTTGCAATGTAGAAACGACACCCCAGTAGCTGAAACTCCAAATAGAAGATATAATCGTTTCGCTCACCAGGCAGTAAAAGCTCCAAAATGCAATGAACAAATCGCCGCTTCATATCACAAAGCTCAACAGCAAGGAAAACAACCCAAGTAATCAGGCGACGGGTTTCAATGACCGAGTCCACACCGGACAAAGATTTCAACAAGCGGAGGCTACTGATTGGGCAAATATTGGCGCTCGAATCACGCGGCCAATCAGCTACCAAGTACCAACTGACTGTATCAGGATAGATTTGGGCCCAAATCCCAATTTGCCTGATTTCTGCAGATTTTCTTGGATGCGTGTCGCCAAGAAAAGCAAAGGAAACGAAAACTGAAAAGGCAGTGCGTGCCTTCAGATCCTGCGTGGACCGAGTGCGTGGCGCCCGTCCCAAGAGACGATTTGACGAACGGAGCGGGGAGAAGGAACGGGGGAGGGGAGTGAGAGAGGCGTACTGGGGCAGGCGCAGGCGCATTCCGTCCGCCGCCGGGCGTGGGCCTCCTCCGGGCTTGTGCAATGCCTGGCTCTGCGAGTGGTGTCTGGTGTCTGGTGTGGCCTGGGATGGGAGCTGATTGGTTTATATGTGAACGTGACTTGAGGAGGACTGGAGGAGAAGGAAGAAGCTTCAAATCCAAACCAATTAAAAAAAGTTGAATGTACATCATCACAAGGACTTAATACATGAATGAAAGCGATGCTCTGTGCTTGGACCTATCCATTGATAATTCTGTATACCTGTTTCTTCCACGCAATTACTCCTTTTGATCCAAATTAAATACATAGACGTCGATAGACAAAATTTTGGTATTACCTTCCTCTTGCTGAATATGAGAATCAACAATAGTCTCTTCTAGCCGTAACAGTATACCTTCCTCTTATGAATCACGTGCATGATTGCACGTTCGTGGAAAAAGCTATAAGAGTATACAAGCAAACATGCACATATGCAGGGTTCACTTGTGTTTAATTAGCAAACATGCCCCTTGGTCGCAACGGAAGAAAAAAATACCAAACATTCGCAGCACATTTCGTTTGGTTGAAACGATCGTGGATTATTACTTGGTGCATTTGGTTTGGTGAGAGAAAAAATAATATTCTGACTTATAATCCACGATCGTTTACGACCCAGCGAATAGGCTGTCGATCTATTTGTTTCACCTTGTTGCACAACTACAACGGCCGCGACAGCTACTTTTGATGTTGTGACTGCTTGTTGCAGCAATCACAAACGAATTGGCTCGTCAATGAAAACAAGGATCGCAATGTTATATATCTATTTTTTATCTTTTTATAAAATTTAAAAACTATACTTTATTTTATGATGACCATGGTATCCATAATATGAATTAATATTGACAACAATATAATAATGTCATATGAATTCTGTATTAAATTAAAATACAACCTTAATAGTTTTTTCTTTCATTGTAGGAAACACAATATTTACTAGCAAGTGAATCATAACTTTAGTTTTCATACTATCCATTTGTTGGGTTAGATATCAAGTTCCGTGACTTCTTATAATAAGAATCCATAAAAATATGTAATTTTAATATCTTATTAAAGTAGTTGTCGTCGTGTCTCGGTTTCCACATGTCACCCCTTTTTGAAAGTTGCACTGATATATGCGGATAGCTTAGAGATTTACACTGGTACGTGCGGACAACTTGAAAAAACATTTGTTTTGGTTAGATTAGATTAGGCTCAAAATTTTAGTTTACGGTTTGATTAGTTAGGCCATCTACTCATTTATATCATAATAATAATTTATTCTTAATTAATATTGAAAGCATTTAGGCCCCTAGTTGGGCTTCGATGATTAATGACAATACGAGATTACTGTGACTAACGTGTGTTTTGCATATGCAATTAAGTTAGGTCATGGTAATGGAAATTGATTGGGCAATCATGGTTGTCATGCCCCTACGATGGAAATTGTTTTGGTTTTCAAAGGATGGACGACAAGGTTAAGGATGGACTAGTTCTAAGTGTCGTTTGGTGTTGATGAGACACTTAGACTAGTTTAGGACTTTTTTTTGCCATACTATTAAGGGGTTATGGACGGGTAGCTTGACCTAGATGAGTCTAATGGGTTAGATGTGGTGCACGCTTGTCTAACTAGCACTAGGTAGCTCCTAAATACCCCTTAGATCAATTGGAGTGAACTTCATTCACATTTGATTACGAGTTGGAAGTGAATAGAGGGTCAAATATTGACCGGACGCTGGCGCAGAGTCCGATCAGTTCATTTGATCAAGGTGAAGTCGTCTGGATGCGACCGGACGCTGAGTGAAATGTGACCTGACGCTGGGTGCCAGAGTCCGGTCAACTCCAGTAAGGTTCCAGAGAAGGAGAATCCTGATAGGACGCGTCCGGTCAGTGCTGACCAGACACTGGTCAGGTTCCGGCTACTGACCAGACGCTGAGCAGCAAAGTGACCGGACGCTGGGTGCTAGAGTCCGATCAACATCAGTAAGGTTCCAGAGGGTAGTTTTTGTGATCGGACGCGTCCGGTCAGTGCTGACCGGACGCTGGTCAGTGTTCGGTCACAACTTAATTGCTTGGTTGCGGGGTGAACTGACCGGAGCGTCCGGTCACCCCGCAGTGGCACATAACGGTTCGTTTTGATTGAGGGGTTATAAATACTTCCTCTATTCACTCAAGGGGTCACTTTTGCTCATCCAACAGCTGAGAAACACCCTTGAGAGTGACAAGAAAAACAAAGTCCTAATGAGGTGATTGAGATTTGAGAATCCAAGAGAGAGACCTCATTAGTGAAAGCAAGAGTAGCAAAGTGTGCATCCACCCCCCTCATTAGGCTTGTCTTGGTCAAGTGAGAGTTCGTGCTTGTTACTCTTGGTGATCGCCATCACCTAGATGGCTTGGTAGTGATTGGGAGCTTGGTGATTATCCGGCGGAGCTTGTGGATGACCCAACTCATGTTGTGAGCGGTTGTGGGTGATTCACCGCGACGGAGTGTCAAAGAATCAACCCATAGAGAGCACTTGATCCTTGCGCGGATCAAGGGGGAGCTACACCCTTGCGCGGGTACTCTAATGAGAACTAGTGGAGAGTGGCGACTCTCCGATACCTCGGCCAAATATCACCGTGTTCCTCCTTTCCTCTTTACTTTGAGCATTTACTTTGAGCAATTCAATTCTTGTCTTTACATTCATAGAATGGCCATGCTAGAGTAGGATTAGAATTTAAGTTGCAAAACTTTTGTGCGGTAGAACATTAGAAACACTTTCTAGGCATAAGAGGTGAAGTGGGCTAACCGTAGGGTTTAATTATTGCAAAGAATTTTAGAATTAGCCCAATTCACCCCCCTTCTCTTGGGCATCTTGATCCTTTCAATTGGTATCAGAGCCTCGTGCTCACGTATTTAGGCTTAACAGTCTAGAGAAAGATGTCTCACAGGGATGGACCTCCTCCTATCTTTGAGAGGGATGATTTTCCTTATTGGAAAATCCACATGGAGGCATATTTAGAAGCTCTATATGTTGGAATACTTAGAGCCACCTCACAAGGATTCCTAAAACCTCGGGATCCCACGCACCTTCAAGGCGATGAAGTGAAGTATGAGAAATGGAATGCAAAGGCTCGAAACACCATCTTTAAAGGCCTTTGCAAAGATGTGTTTAACCAGATGAGGAACCACAAGGATGCCCATGCACTATGGTTAGACATTTGTGCGCTCCATGAGGGAACTAAGAGCGAGCATGAGGAACACTATCATCTCATTATGAAAAAGCTTAATTTTTTTGAGATGCTTCCTAAAAAGAGTGCTAATGAAATATACTCACGCTTGAATGTTCTTATAGAGGAAGTCAATGGGCTTGGACTTACTCAAACGCAACCATTTGATGTTGTGAGAAAAATTTTGAGTGTCCTCCCCATTGACAAATATGGGCATATTGTGGCCGTGCTTCATCAAGGTGATCTTTCCACCGCTACACCAACTCAAATCTTGGGAAAGATCAATGTTCATGAGATGTACATACACATCACACCACAAGATGGCTCATCCTCTACCAAAAAGAAAGACAAAGACTTAGCATTCAAGGCTAGCCAAGAGAATGGCAAAGCAAGAATCGAGTATGAGAGCTCAAGTGATGATGAAGTTGATGATGCAAGTCTTGCTCTCATGGTGAGAAGAATCACCAAGATGCTAAAGAAGCTCAACAAGAATGGCGTCAAGTTTGATGGAAAGAAAAAGAAGTTCTTCACTAGCACTAGAAGGAAGCCAATCTCAGAGATGGATTGCTACAATTGTGGAGAACTTGGTCATCTAGCACATCAATACACAAAGCCCAAGAAAGACAAGTACAAGAATAAGAACAAGGGCAAGAAAGATGACTCAAGTGATGAAGATAAAAAGAAGAAAACAAGCCATACAAGAACAAAGATGGCAAGAAGTACTTCCACGAGAAGAAGAAAAATAGGAAGGCATACATCGTCGGTGATTGGCTCACGGACATTGATTCATCTAGTTGCTCATCCGATGATGATAGTGATAACGAGAAGGTGGCCGCTATTGTGATTAATTCTTCATCATCTTCACCGACACCACTACCATCATCCTCTACACACCTATGCCTTATGGCCAAGGGTGAACGAAAGGTATCAAATAATGATGATAGTAGTGGTGATGATCATGCTAACAATGATGATAGTGATAGTGATAGTGATGATGATGAATATGAATCACCTTCATATGATGATCTTGTTAAATTGCTAAATCAATATACTAAGATCATTAGACAGACTAGAGCTAAGAATGACAAGCTAGAAGCTAAGAATGATTCTCTTTTAGCTAAATGTGATACAACCAAAAAGGCTAGTGTTGAGCTTAAAGAAGTAAATGAAGCTATGTCATCCAAACTCAAGGAACTCAAATCTTCTAAGAAAGAGCTTAAAGATAAACATGATAAACTTGAGGGAATGCATAAAGAGCTCATCACTAGCCACAATATGCTAAAAAAGAATATACAACTCTCAAGATCAATCATGATAATCTTGTTATCGCTCAAGAATTTTTATCCAATGAGCCACATGATGCTACTAACGATGTTGTTAAGATTGATATAGCTACATCATGTGATGATTTAATTGTTGAGAGTATTGAGCAAGGATCTAGTAGCAAAGGCAAGCAAGTGGTTGAAACCGACAACTATGATGAGTATGTCAAGCTCAATCATGATAATAAAAAGCTCAAGAAAGATCTTAAAGAGCTCAAAACCACCAATACTATAGTGCTAGAAACTCTTGATCATGATGGTGATTTGATTCTTAAGAATGAGAAGTTCAAAGAAGAGAACAAGAAACTCAAGGAAGAGAAAAATAATGATGCACTCAAGGAAAAGAACAAGAAGCTCAAGTTGGAGAAAAAACATCTCAATATTGGATTGAGCAAGTTCACAAGAGGCAAGCATCTTCAAAGTGAGCTACTAATGAACATCGTCATAAAGATGA